TAGTTTACAATTAAAGTCGGCCAATAGTTTATATGAATTTGTATATAATTGTCATTATAAAATTATGTAAGAAAAGAACTCGTTTTTTATAACTAAAGAGTAAAGACAGTGATATAATAGTAGAGTTTGAGCGTATTTAAAATTATTTCTTATATTACTCGTACTTTTATACTATAAAGAATTTGGAAAAAAAAACTCCCATATGAGTCGTATTATTTTATATTAAACCTAAGCATACCACACATAAGGAAAATTAAAATAAAAAATTTATCTATTCAATTTTCTAACGACATAGTGTAGAGAATTTTAAAATCACTTAGCAATGACACATGCAATATCAAAAAAATTAATATCTTCATTAATTATTTATTTTTCTCTCTGGCTAGTCAAATTATATATGGGAGATTACTACGCAATGAGTCACTCTTCAGCTAACAAACTCCAAGCTTGAAGGGACTGTTATATTATTAGATATGCATATTTTATACGTTAGAAAAATATTTCAAAACTTTTTCATCGCACCCTAATCACCAGATTGGGTGGATGCATGGTGGGCTAGCGACATTCAAGGACCCGTTTTAGCGACTTCAGTGCAAGCCGCTGGTACCATCTTTCCGCTAAGGACAGGCTTCATGTTAGCACATGCCGAGACAGCTGGTCCTTCTTTACCGTTGCTGACCAAGTTGATGTCCGCAAGGGCAATATTGGAGCAAGGCACACCTTTGCTACAAATTAGTTTCACGGCTATCTTACTGGCTGATGTGCCCTTAATGTTCTTGAAGGTCACGTCCGACAACTTCACTTTCGATGGGACCTAAACATAGAAAGAATTAAAAGTTAGATTAATATTATCATACGTCTCCAAAGTTGAAAGCCCATGAAACTTAATATCTCTTTAATTTGAAATATAGAAAATGTTTGATTTACATACCCCAGCTTTGCAGTGGCCATAAGGACAATACTCTTGGTCGATGAGAACGGGAGTGGTAACATTGTCCATTGTGATATCCTCAAAAAGAATGTTCGAGGCAATACCAGGAGGAGATCCGGGCCATGTCTTGATGCGAACACCATTATCGGTGTTCTTAATGAGGCATTTCCTCACGATGACTCCTTTCACTGGTTGTTCATTGGGATACTTTCCAAGACTTCCGATGGAAATACCGTGACCTGGTCCACATTCTACGTTCTCAACAACGAGATTTTCAGTACCATCTCCGATGGAAACACAATCATCTCCGGTTTTAATATTTGCCCCTATTAAGTTGACGCCATTTGACCTTCCGATGTGGATACCATCGGTGTTGAGACTCTCCGGAGGAGCATCAATACCAATATCTCGAAGAGTTATGTTCTTGCAGTTGAGGACGTTCATGTGGAAAAGTTTGCTGTTTGTTGATGTTATGCCGATAATTTTCGAGTTTGTAAGACCCGTGAATCGGATGTTCTGTAACCAAATACTACCGAGTTAATAAACTATATATTCGATAACTTTATATATTTTAATTTGAATGTGCTTACGATGGGGAGATTGTTGCATTTCCCAGTTTTGGCGCAGTCATTAGCCTTCCAAGCCATGGAGCCTTGACCATCCAAAATGGCTCCATTTCCATTCAAAGTGAAATCAGCGACATTATCGAAATTAATCCATCCAGAATGTTCTTTAGCGACAGTGACGGTAGCCGGAGCCTTTAGATTGCCATTCAAATCCATAGTGACTGGACCTTTGCATGGACCCTTGAGCTCTAGGCTGTTCACCAAATACTCACCCTTTGGCACTGTAATCGTTCCTCCTGCTGCACACGCTTTTTCCCATGAAGCCGCAAATGCCTATATCGCGACCAAATTTTTTTTCTTAAAACCATATAATGAGAGGCAATAGCATATTTACAAACAATTTATAGAGTTTAGTACGTACCGCACTGTCATCGGTTTTACCGTCTCCTTTGGCTCCTGATGCTTTAACGTCGAGTGATCCACCACTTGCTTTGGCTCCTGCTGGTGCAGATGCTTTAGACCCGTTTGCTATTGTGGTGGCCATAACCACTAGTACGACAAGAAGCCACGTGCTTGCTCTGCGCAAACCCACCA